ACTCTTTCCCTCACTAACTCTTTCTTTGACTAACTCTTTCCCTGACTAACTGTTTCTTTGCTAACTCTTTCTTTGACTAACTCTTTCTTTGACTACCTCTTTCCCTGACTAACTCTTTCTTTGACTACCTCTTTCCCTGACTAACTCTTTCTTTGACTAACTCTTTCCCTGACTAACTCTTTCTTTGACTAACTCTTTCCCTGACTAACTGTTTCTTTGACTAACTGTTTCTTTGCTAACTCTTTCCCTCACTAACTCTTTCTTTGACTAACTCTTTCCCTGACTAACTGTTTCTTAGACTAACTCTTTGTTTGACTAACTCTTTCTTTGACTAACTCTTTCCCTGACTAACTCTTTCTTTGACTAACTCTTTCTTTGACTAACTCTTTCCCTGACTAACTGTTTCTTTGACTCACTCTTTCTTTGACTAACTCTTTCCCTGACTAACTGTTTCTTTGACTAACTCTTTCTTTGACTAACTGTTTCTTTGACTACTCTTTCTTTGACTAACTCTTTCTTTGACTAACTCTTTCTTTGACAAACTCTTTCCCTGACTAACTGTTTCTTTGACTCACTCTTTCTTTGACTAACTCTTTCCCTGACATTCTAAAAGTCCGTAACACGGAAGTTTCTCCCACTAAACTTCCTTTGATAATATATATACATATACATATATATATATGCATACATATACATATACATATGCATACTTACACATACATATAAGTACATATATATACACATATATAAATAAATGCATATATATATATATACATACGTATGCATACATATACATATATCTACATACATATACATACGTATACATACGTACACATACATATACATACATATACATACATTACATACATTACATACATTACATACACATACATACACATACATACACATACATACACATACATACACTTACATACACATACATACACATACATACACATACATACACATACATACACATACATACACATACATACACATACATACACATACATACACATACATACACATACATACACCTACATACACATACATACACATACATACACATACATACACATACATACACATACATACACATACATACACATACATACACATACATACACATACATACACATACATACCCATACATACACATACATACACATACATACACATACATACACATACATACACATACATACACATACATACACATACATACACATACATACATTTGCACACTCATACATACACATACATACACATACATACACATACATACACATACATACACATACATATACATACATATACATACACATACACGCACACATACATACACATACATACACATACATACACATACATACATACACATACATACACATACATACATACATGCATACAAACATGTATCTGGGTAAATGATAACGACCCCACTGCGACCTCACTGGAAATCATGGTTAATAAGGGAAATCATCCCCAAATGGCCTTATTTCAGGTTAGTGAAATATTTTAATTTACCCAGATACATACATACATACATACATACATACATACAGACATACAGACATACAGACATACAGACATACAGACATACATACATACATACATACATTATTTTTTATATATGTATATAATTCTATCTCTAGTTAAATATATATATATATATAGTTACATAAATAGATATATATATATTATATACAGATACTATTAAAGTTACGGTCATTACTATTATTTTTAATATTTTTATTTTCATTATTCATAGTGTTATCATTGTTTTTGCTACTATTATTGCTATTATTGTTTTACACGCTCACATGTATATATATATATACACATTATATTTTACGTATGTCGAGTTTACACTGTTACAGAGTACTTACAAGAATACGACCTATGTGACTCATGTGGTTGATGTGGCTAATGTGGCTGCGTGAGTAGTTCAGGGTATCACTCCAACCTGCAAACCGACCTCAGTTCTACCAAAGATAGACTATGAATTGAATGATATTTAGGTTATAAATGAGAGGCGTTCTTGGTGATTACACTTTCTCTTTATTTGTTGGACACATATCGCCAAAATAGACGTTGTCCAATCAACTCAACAAACATTGATCGGCCTCAGTCCATCACTTGCACACGCAAATGATGCCCAAAAGGCACCTTACTTGAAGTTACTTTAACGATCTTGAACTTGCCTATTTTTGCCCAATCATCTTCCAGATTCTATTTTCCGGCCCTTGGCCTCCTCCAAACATCAACTTGAACCTTGGGCTACTGCGCTACCTCATTCCTCCAAACAGCTCAGACTTTTTGTTCCGTGCGGGGTTGGAATCTGTCATCAGTTTTTGAGTTTCTGACGCCCCCCCCCAGGCGGCAACGTTATTTGACCAACATAGAGAGTCTCAGCAGCAGCTAGCTTGCGAAATCTTGCGAACCTGCGACCAATGAAGTGCCACTGGGAGAAAGGAGACATCAAGACTAGTTGCTGCCATGCAAACTGGTTGTTGAATTTTGCATTTTTTTGTATGTTTCAATTGTTTCAATCCTGAGGAACTTGTACAATTGGGCTTCCATAGCCATGCTGATGGCATCTGACTTAGTTGGACCATGTTGGACCCATGTCTCGCCAGTCTCAGTGAGTTCTCTTCAAAGTACAGGGCTGTGGAATGGTGTGGAATGGTGTGGATGTGTAGGCATAGATTGCTCGAGTTGGTGTCGGATGTTGATCAACTTGAACTAGGATAGGCTTAGGACGTTGGTTATTTCTTCCAGGGTTCATCAGATTGCTTGCCACTCTTGGCACAGCATGCCGGAACAAACCCACTGGTAGCAAGAATGGTTGTGCTATGTTCTGAGGTGCTCCGAGCGCGTGATTCATTATTACGGTAATTACGTCTTTCAACTGTGTACTGAGTGTACTGTTCTCATTCTTTCCATTCTTTCCATTCTTTCCATCTGGAACAATTTTTTCACATTTTTTCTAGTCGAAGTATGTCGAAGTCAGGTTCTGGTTTACATCACCATGGATGCTCATGGCCTGCAGGACGACCTGTGTACATTGAACTTATTTCATTTGACAAGATTTGACTCGTGTGACATTGATTTGACATGCTCTTGACATGCCATTTCTCACATTTTCTCACCTTCACACTAGCTTTTCGCATTCGCTTCTCAGCCCAGCTGCGTGTTGTTCTTCGTTCTTCTGAGTCAAGGGCCGCTGCAAGGACATGCCAGTCATGCTTTCCCTGTTGATACTCTTCCGGTGGATCCAGCTCACATGGAGTCGCTCGGCCATCGCAAAGATTCAAACCCGAGCCGCTCAAGGCCGCCCGTCGCTGCACACCACTCCAGCCTTCCTAGCCTTTCTGGTCCTGTTTCAAGTCGATCCTTCAAGAAATTGAATAGACCGCTGACATACACTGACATGAATCCCAGATCTTAATGCAATGCCCCACGTCTATTGAACACTGCTGTGGCTTTAGCCCGCTGCTGAATAGCAAAGGTTGCAGAGCCTTTGGCTTGGTACTGTCCCTACTTGCACCTGGCTGCCAGCTGCAATACAGTCTGCTCTTGACAGAATCCAAGACGACACTTCACCCTAATTGTAGCACAGCAGTTGACTGCCGCGTTTTCAAACGTTCAAAAGATTTTGAATGCTTTTTGAGGTGGGGGAAAAGATCTTGCCAATCATGCAAGCATCCTTCTCGGCGCACATCAAAGGGTGCGTGCCCTGCAGAGTTCCACTTGCCAAGACTTGCCAAGACTTCCCAAGACCTGCCTGGTTTCCATTCCATCTGTCGGTATCTATCGGCATTTGTCGGCAGCGGTCATTCAGGATCTTGGTGGTAACGTTTTGTATCTTGCTCGGCTTTCTGCACGGTGCAATGGCTCTTGAACTTGGGCACTCTCCTCAGGTCCAGAGATATGAGGAAGTATTTCTAGTGTTATGAGATGTTATGAGATGTTCTTAGAGTATATTGTTGTAGTTATATCAAAAAAAACTTCCGATTCCTCTTAAGTGTCAATGGTTACAGATGTACTGTGGATCGAAGAGTGAGCGAGGAATGACCTTCCTCAACATTACGCAGTTGTGCTTTGGATGCAGATCGACAAGCAACATTGCCCCCCATGGGGTCTTAATATTGTCTTTATGATCTTTATAGTGGAACATGCTGGTGACAGACTTTCAGTGACAAAGATCAGTGACTACAACATCTGTCCCTTCAATTTTGGTATCAAACTTTGGACCCAAAAAAACGTAAAAGATTGTCAACCGAAGAATGAATTGAAGTGCCAGCAGACTTGAAGCACTTGACTTTGACACATTCACAGGTGCTCGGATCTCTCAAGCTACTGCTATTGGGCTGCTTGGTTACAAATTTTGATCTTTAGTATTTTTGAATCACTTTAAACAGCATTCTTGGATGAACTTGGCCGAGGAGATGGAGATGGAATTGATGTGACGCTTGGGCTAGGGAATGCTGAGGACAGGGTCCATTTTCACAATTCAGACCAGCAAGTTAGGTTATAGCAGGGTTCTCGATGGTTGAAGCAGGTGTTGGCCGACAGAGTTTTTGAAATGAAACTCATTTTCAAAGATTTGGAACTTCTTAGTCATCAAAGAAGCTCAGACTAAGTTCAATCTCTGTTTGGCATTTCAGCACGTTTTCAAAACAGAACGTGGATTCTGAGAAGGGAAGTTTACATCGCGCAGGAGGGGAATCCGATCACTTTCCTCTTCCTGTTCGCTGCCATGGTTGTTTTCTGCGCCGGCAGCCTACGGGAGCTTTGAGCCTTTCTCAAGTCCTCGGACATCCTTGGACATTGGAAGATCATGGAAGATCTTGTCTTCACGTGTAACATATCCTGCTCCCATAGTAACATATTGTGATACGGCTGATACGGTCGTCACATCTTATCAGGTGCTCGGGTTCCAAGGTTTGTGTTCTGAACCTGTTCATTGCCGTCCATGGCGAGGCATTGTCACTTCAACTCCACCAAAGCAAGCACACCAAGACAAACATCGAGATGTTTCGTTGCTAGTTCTCCAATCTTGTTTGAAATATGTCTGAAAATGACATGATGTTCCATGATGTTCCATGATGTTCCATGTAGTTCCATGTAGTTCCATGTAGTTCCATGTAGTTCCATGTCAGATATGTCACGTCGGTGGTCATGCCAAGCCTGGCGAGTTTTGGCGGATCTTGAGAGGCATATGACAGCGCCCAAGAGAAGGCATGAAAACCAGCGGAAAAAAACATGGGAAAACATGGAAAACGACGGAAAACTGTGATCAATGAATCAATGGCATTCAATCAGTTCTAAAGTTATTTGAAATGTTTTGAACTACTGTAATTTAAATAACTTAAAATCATATATGAAATGAAGATTCAGATTTGATAGACTTCATTGCTATTCATTCGTTTGTTGATGGCATTCGTTGCAGGCCTTCACGACCTTTTTGCAGGTGCAGTCGAGAGACTCCAGCAAAGTCCGGTCGGAATTTCCAAGTCAAGCATTCCTTGATTTGCTGGTAGAAAAATGTAGAAAAGACATGAAAAGACATAAAAAGACAGTGTCCCAACATGAGAGCTTTACCGTTCTGAGATGCTTTGCAGGAAAGGGCTGGAATCTGCCTTCACTGCCTGTTGAGGCGTTTTGTCCCGTGCCCACGTCAGTCTTTTAAGCCGGATTTAATTGGCAAAAATAAGCAAACATGAGAATACGAGATATGTGTACGAGACACGTATAATATATATATATATGATTATATGTATATATATATACACAAGACTTTACAACTTTACGAGACTGTATAATCTTTATACATCTTTTTATCTTTATACGACTTCTGATGATTTCTGATGACTTCTGATGTTCCGTGTCTTGGCTCCACCCGCCAGACCCTCTTGGCCGCCACGCTGCTGCCAATACTGGCGCGTGCATCTCTCTCAGCCCATCAGAGACAGGATTCCTTGGACCAGAAAGATCAAGAAAGATCAATGAAGCACGAGAAAGCGTATCAGATTATCTGTTCATGAATCATGAGTCATGCTCACAGGCACTCTTCTGATTCTTACTTTTCTTCTTCGAGTCCAGTTCCTCGTTTTGGCATGCATCCATCTACTGTACAGTAAGATATCTAACGAAAGAAAAGGTAGATAGGGTTGACAGACAATGAACACTTGGGCTCAAAGAACTAATTGACTAGGATACAATACACAGTTTTGATTATATTGCAATTCCTATGTAAGCGCTTTAGGGTCTTGGTGTGGTGTGGTAGGTGTGGTGGCTGTAGTGGCTGTTGTTGGTGACTGTAATGTGTAGCCGCTGTAGCCTTTCATGTATGGTAGGATGAAGGGTGGTTTGTGGGCAGTCTGTGCATAGGTGGTATGAAGTGTACTATATACGGTACATATTACTCTACTATATCGTACATGGTTACATATTAGTCAGTACATCGAGTACATCGTACCCCATTATTTGAAATTGTTGATATGATTCTGGTTTGGCTACTAGCTAAGTAGCCTACGGGTAGTCAAATTAGTACATTGGCAGGGAAAGGTATAGGCACAATCAACAGCTACGAGTGCTATGCCCTTGACATCCCTTATATTATAGTTAAATACAGCTTCCCTTCATTTGCCGAAAATTCCCACCCAGCCGTGCCTTTGGGAATTGTTGTTGCGACAGACACGCCTCTACTTAGATGCCTCCAGCTTAAATATGCTTTTCCTCCAGTCACGAAATGTCTCTGGCTCTAGCCATGAAAATTGTTTTGACTTGAAAGGATTCACTTCTGGCCACAACAAGAAGACAACTAACCAGCCACAAAAAGCATCAGGTTTTTTAAGAGGTGAAACCTAGAGAGTGTAGAGTTGGTGAAGTGGGGAGTGAGGTGTGTAGAAAGTTATGAAGTGTAGAGAGTGTAAGAGAGTTTAGAGAGTGAAGAGAGTAGAATATGTATGTATGGATGTATGTATATATACGTATACATATGTATATATATACGTATATATATATATATACGTATACATATGTATATATGTCATGGATTTCTCAAACACTGACAGAGATCAAACCTCTGTTGTAGACTGCAGATGACTGCAGAGCAATCTAAACAAACGGAGATGCATGATCATTCGCAGCACCTATATCTTGGTTCTGAGGCAGCACCGTATTTCAGTTTACATTTGCTTGCAGATTTTCGTCTTGGCAGCATGGGCGCTACTCCTAAGAGCACGTCGCCCAGCCAGCGCAATTTGCAATCTCTGCAAATCTGTTTGCAGATGTTTCCTGATAATGCATGATGCAGGAATAATTTGCTTTCCAAGTGGAATACCCAGGAAGAATCCATCAATGTTCTGGCACCAACAGCACTGCTTGGAGCATCCGCAATGCTGGGCGACGCCATTCTTGTACAGGGCTCAGGCTCAGCGCAAGGTAATCCAGGTAATGCCTTCGCAGTGCCAAAGACCAAAATCCTCTGAATTTTGCTTTCCTTTTTTTTTTTGTTTAAACTTGATGGTCTGATACTGTAGACACTCTAAGGTTCAGCGTCCTTGGAACAAGACAAGTGGGGACCGACCCTGTGTTTGTGTACTGTGGGACTGGGACTGTGGTTTTATGAGATGATTTTGAACATTTTGAACCTGAAATGAGAGCCTCAGTTGTTCACGTGTGCCAGACTTTGTAGGACAAATACTATTTGTGGATGTGCTACAAGGACTGTCTTGGTGTAGAAAAGCAGTATCCTTTGCACAGCTCGCAGTGACTGTGGCCCGGACACGTGGCACATTCAGGAGAGCTTTGATACTGCAGCACAAAATGCCCGATTTCCTAGATCTGAACCTTTCTTTACACACAATATATATATATAATATAATATAATATAATATAACATATATAGTATGATATAATATGTAATTATATTATATTACATATATATCATATATTATATATATCATATATTATATATATTATATATTACATATTATGTATTATATATATATTTCATATCATATAATATATTAAATATATTATAAAAATGATATAATACAATATATTTAAAATAATGCATATCTATAATAATATATATGATATAATACATACAACATAATATAATAATATATAATGTAATATAATATACTATAATATATAATGTAATATAATATAATATAATATATAATATAATATAATATATAATATAATATATAATATAATATATAATATAATATAATATATGATATAATATATGATATAATATATAATATAATATAATATATAATATGATATATAATATAATATATAATATAATATAATACAGTATATAATATAATATAATATATAATATAATATATAATATAAAATATAATATATAATATAATATAATATATAATAAAATATATAATATATAATATAATATAATATAATACTATATTACATAATATATTATTATATTATGTTATACTATATTATATATAATATTATGTAATATAATATAATATTATATTGCATAATATTATATATAATATAATAAAATATTATATATAACATAATATGATATAACATAATATAATAATATATAATGTAATATAATACAATATAATATAACATAATATAATAATATATAATATAATATAATATAAGATAATATAATATAATATAATATAATATGTACTATAATATAATAGAACACAATATAATAATATATCATGTAATATAATATAATATAACATCTATTATATATGTAATATAATACAATATGAAAAATAATATAATATAATATAATATATAATATAATATATAATATAATATAATATATAATATAATATAATATAATGTAATATATAATATAATATGATATGATATATAATATAATTTAATACATAATTTATGAAATATAATTTATAATATATTATATATAATAGTTAATATATGATATATAATATATACTGTAATATATAATATTATAACAATACAATACAATATAATATTATATAATATAGTATATAGTAATAAATAGAAATATATAGTAATACATAGCAACATATTATCTAATATTATATAACATAATATAATATAATATAACATAATATAATATAATAGAATATATATACATATATCATATTATAGTATATTATGTTTTAATATTACATTATATATACACACTATAATATGATATATATACATATATATATATATTGGATATATATATAGTATGAATATTTTGTATATAGTATGAATATATAGAATATGTTTATATGATTTTCTTGGCTTGGCAAAGGGGAAAAGGGGCTTTCGATTCCTTCACTGGCCTGAGGCTGAGAGAGATGCAGGTGAAGGGAGCATGGATGGTCGGATTTCACGCTTGAAGCGGGACTGTTGCGGAGTTTCTTTTTGTTCTTGATTTTGTCGAAGAAAACGCGTACATAAATTCACACTGTGACACAATCGCCGGACACATCAAAGCACTGTTGCGGCACTGTTGCTGACACTGTTGCAATCTGTCCTCCAGAATTGAAATCTGTTGCACCTGGTCCGAGAATTGCAATTCTGGAGGACAGTACGCAGCTCTACAAGCAGCTGTCCACGGTGGCGTGGTTTACACTGGGCAGGGAGCCGGCAGGGAGCCGGCAGGGAGCCCATGGTGCAAGACGCACAGATCAGAAATTGAAAAGATAGTGTGAGAATGTGTGAGACATGAAATCGACCCTTTGCGTTCCCGCTGGACTTGGAATAACTATGAATGGTCGCGCAGGTAACTCAGGTAGTGCGCAAGCCATGAACCTATAGAATTGGTTTATTTTTTGATAGTCCCAGTGGTACTGACTTTGGCGCGTCAGTATTTCATATTATCATATATTATCGCTATAATCCATGATATATCAGAAGTCCAATGGTTAATAAATCAGCAAAGTAATCGGATGGCTCAGCCAAGTTTTCTGTAACTTTGTCAACAGCTTAACCGCTCCTGCAACTCATGTTCAATCGAGCTGATCCACCATGCTGCCCTTAAGGAGATCAATTCGCGCTGCCCTTAGACCATGACCGCAGAACACAATCTGGCAGCGATGTGGCAACCGAATTCACACACCTCACCCTGTCACACCTCCAGTGAGAGATTCTATTCTGACTTGACTATACAACACAATGCATCCCTCGAGTACTCTTGAGTTCTTGTTTGCTTCGTGTAGGGCTTCTTTCTCTTTTTCACTTGTGAGCAAAGACACCAGCGCCTGATATGTTCTTTGTGTCACTTTAGCACACTTTAGCACACTTTGCCAGAATGTCCAAACAGCTTGGCGAGCAGTACCAGACTCTGAGCCAGAAGGTCCAGGTTGGATTGGGACAGCGTGAGAAAAATCACATACGGCAACACCCTACTGGTTGTGACTATTCAAAGCATATACAGGTGGACAGGAAATGACCTTCCGTTCTCTTTCTTCAACGATCTATTCAGCTATGCTTTCGTCGAAGAGCACTTGCCATATATGCATAATACAGCGGAATAGTATGCGAAACCTTGTGCATGGCAGAATTTGTGGATCCAAACATCCCGAGATTCAACCATACTGTATACAATTCTCGTGGATTCTCTCCAATGTGTGTTGGCTTGATCTTTACTTGCTACAGTAGACATGTTAAAGTAGACATTTTAAAGTTGTCAAGCCCTGATGCAAGAGAGACATGCATGAATCCTCGAAATCAGTAGGCAATGGTGAAGACGGTTTGGAGTTTCTCTTTCAGTTGATGTTTTTTCCAGTCCTGCAGGGAATGGAGAGCCGCCTTCAAGGTGCAGTTGGGTCAATGCGACTCGAATAATTAGCCAATGTATTATATAATATATTATAATGTAATTAATATATAATTTGAACTTTTGAATGTGACGTGTTTGCGCGGGAGAGTATCTACCTGTGGGACACGGCATTCCCTGGTCCATTATCATGCCACTTTCAAACTGTGACATTTTGGCAGAGGTCACGAAGTGATGTTGCTGAGCTGTTCATAGAAGTTGGTGTTAAGGGTGGCTGCAGGTCTGACCAACAGTCAGCAGGGTCACTCGCTATAAAAATATTATGAAGATACATGCAGTTTCAGTGTTTGTGGTGTCTTCACTTTTCTGTCAACTGTCGTTTCTCATTTTGCTGGTCAGGAGCAGTCTTCCTGGTACCCTCTGGATACATGTGTATCCTTTTGGCACGTTTCTTATTTCCATATGTTTGTATGCTTCCTTTCTTGGCTCTTTTAGCTCCTTTGGCTCTTTTGGCTTTGTGACTAGTCTCTTGACTTCCTTGTCTCTGAGTCAGGTTTGACTCGTCGAGCTACCTTTGTCTTTCTATACTATACGTTTTCTACTGTATAGTACTCTGACGTGGCTTACTTCTTTCGCTGTGATTTGACTGTACCAAAAACAATCAAAAACAGATCTGGCTTTTTGCTGAACATCGATCTTCTGTTATTGTCTTTTTATGTTTTGCCAATCTCAGCCGCAAAATTATGCAACAGCTTCGTCCCTTGCCTTGCTCTCGGCAGTGCTAGTGGACTTCTGCACGATTGTTGCAAAGAGACGCAGAATTACATTATGGTTCTCCAAATGCTACTGCAACTGCAGCAACAGTCCGCACCGAAGCGATGCTGAATAATTTTTACATTGCCATGCTGACCATCTGCAGCTGCAAAGCATAAAACAGGAATCACTGCAGTAGTTTTGGTAGGTTCCGAGTTCAATGAAATCCAATTAATACATTGATGCCACTCCATTTTCTTGTGCACGAAAGAATAAAGAGCTCCTACAACCGTGTCATGCTCCAGTGTCCTAGCGAAGCAGCAGACTTGTTTTACAATGTTTTGTGCATCACCGTGCTGAAGTGTGACAGCACATACAGAGTGGTCCACAAGTGGCTTACTGTGCTTGGAGGCCTTGAGAACCACATGGAGGAAATGGTCCAGAACCTCGAGTACATCGTCTCCGCACACAACTTGGGCATTGCATGAATATGATGAATGCCCGTGCAGTTCCGCAGCATTTCACCAGATGTGTTGTGTGTGTAAAAATCAAGGTACAAACAAGAACACAAGGCAGCTCACCTTGTTTAGAATGAGCGATAGTGAGACAAAGAGCTCAGCTTGGCCTCTGCGAGAACTTTCAGGCTGTGTCCAAGACACGGTCGAAAACGCCGTGTGCATTTGCAGAGAGAAACCTGAGCTGCTAAGATCTGCAAAGTGCACTTTGCCAATCTTTGCCACACTTTCATCTGGTTATATCTGGTTCTACGCCAGTTTGGACTTGCCACAGAAGCATGTGGCAGACTGTGCCCGCTCAGATACTTCTCAAGGTAGCTATCGATGAAGTCAGCCAGAAAGTTTGCAAGATGCATACAGCTAGTAGCCTTGATGCATCGCAACTGGACTACAGATATCAAAAGCTTGCAACTCACAGTCTTTTACAAAAGCCTGAGCTTGAGCATCAGTGGAGGAGTGTGTCCTCCGGAAAAACATGCAAAACATCAAACGACATTCCTATGTGACAAAGTGCAGTGGACGTGAACAGTTGGCAATGAAGGATCCACTAAGCCTGCCGCAGCCAGAATTTCTAAAGCGGCCAGCAATATCAAGATATCAAGCAATGGCCAATTAGGCAGAAGACTCACACAGGCTCACATGAACGATTCGGCAGATCAGCGGGGCAACTGCTTCTGGGACATTCTAGGGCCTAGGGATAATGCCAACAAAAAAGGCTAGATTGGAGACCTGCTTAGGAACTGGTTAGGACCTATTTAAATCTATTTAAGACCTAGTTTCTCTCCTGGTTGCTATATCGTGCCACAGCCAGAGTTTCCCGCAGAGCCTTTGCTGCAGGCAGGCGCATATTTGCTTCGTCTCTTGTTGGAAATGGGATCGAAAAGCATCGAAAAGCACTTGTCCGTAATGACCCAAAGGCTTGCACCGCTTTGGACTCAATGGCTTCTCAGCATGGGCAGCAGGCAGCTTGGCGCTGTTTGAACGGTGCTTGTGATACGAACTTGATTGCCTTGTGTTTCATAAACCAGAGGTAATCAGAGGAACAACATTCGCATACATTCGCAGTGAACACTCGATCACATTCGTAGTAAAGTGCAGCAGTGCAGCGGCGCGGCCAAGCCCGAAATTATGCTTGGCTAAGAAGGGCCCGACTGGACGCGCTTGGAAAACATTCAGCCCCTCCAGGAGAAGGCAAAGCGAACTACCCCTGTTTGCAACTTAGTTCTCGCCATTTCTCGCCCATTGTTCAGCCATTTCAAAAGGCTTTGTATTCATTTGGATGTTATTTGTTTCAGGCTCTTTTCAATTCTTTTCATGTGTTCTTTTCTGAAAAAAACATGTTTCTCTTTGAATGCCCATTTGCTTTGGTATGCTGGTAACTTTGCTGAGCTGGCTTTGGAATCTCGAGGCCCTCTCTTCCAGAACCTCAGTCTCATCTCGAAGTGGAGCACGGGGAACTTCGCCCCAGGCTTGGATCGACCATCTCCGCCACTTCGCCGTACACACTGACCTTCAAGAAGGTAAATTACAAGAACAACTTAGAATGGCTTGGCTCAATCTAGCTAAGAAATGCTAAGAATAGATTCTGACAGTCTGACAGTTTAAATCGGTAAGACCGAGGAATGTGAGCATATAAGCGTAGGTATGATGTTTGCCACGTAAGTCGCAAAAGTCGCAAAAGTCGCAAAAGTCGCAAAATTCACATAAGAGTTAATTACCAACTTGAAATCAGCGATGCTTCGATTACTTTTAAGTACTTCGATTGCTTCGATAAAGTTTGACCTGGCCTCTGCGCCCAGCGTCCGATGTCCGTCTCGGGCTTGGACCACAAGAGCATTGTCGCGATGAGCCAGCTGTGCACAGAGGCAGAGTTGCAACATGTTGAAACAGTTGAAACGCTGATGCAACGGGTCTGAAACTGTGCTTTGTGTGAAAGCATAAGGGTCCAACACCGGAAAAAGTGTCCGATTTCTTTCTGTAATTTTTTTTGCTGCATGTTGACAGATTCTTTATCTTTCAGATTAGCTGATGGTCAAGCAGATCTGGAACCAAGCAAACACTCATGTACAGAGTGATTTTGCATGATTTTGCAACTTAGTTGCTTGACTAATTATATGCTTGTGTCACAGCTTGGCTCAGCTTGACCACGACAGAGCAGGATCTAGATGCAAAGATGCGGGAGAAGTCTGCCTTGTCAAAGCAACTTGCAGACCTGAAGAGAGGAAAATTGCAGTGCCCTGCCAAGCCTTGATCAGACCTGAGCAGCCTTGCAGTGCCTTGCAGTGCCTTGGAGTGCCTTGCAGTGCCTTGCTAGGGGAGCAGAACATGTGTTTTTTTCCGATCCCATTGATCCAATTCGATCAGTGGTGAACACCTTGCCCCTTGCTTAACCCTTGCTAACACGTCTGGAAACAGGTACGATACAAAAATGCAAAAGAAGAAGAAAGAAGATGATAGCGCCATTGTGCAGACCATGGACATGGACTGGTGGGATGATGGACTGGTGGTATGATGTGTGAAATAACGCAAGCCTCACCGGGATGTTCATAAAATCTGTGTGAATGTGCAATTTGTCCCAGCTGCACAGTGCTTTGGTCTGTTACCCCGTCCATTTTGGAAGAGGAGAAAAAGCTACAGGCGCTAAATAATGGCCAGGTGCTGAGGTTTGGATTCACCAGTCACTTTGGGGAACTTGCGAGGTCTGCAGGAGTCCTGCACAGAATGTTGTGATCCACCTCCAATCTGAACAACAAGGACACAGTGAGAGCTGCCAGTGCATGCTGTGAGGCAATCGAGTTGCAACTGCAGAACTTTCAGGTGGGGCTTGGAAGCAAATAGCCGTGAATGTGGTATGCAGGGATAAAATATTGAAACACTTCAGCTGAACTTCAGCCCGATCTGACTCTAAGACCTCATGATGGCTACCTCTAAAAGCCTCACATGTCAAAATGATTCTGAATGTTGTTCTGTCAGAATGTTGTTCAGGCTTGGGTTCAGAAAACGAGCGCTTGCGACAAGACATTGACGGCTTACGGTCGCACTTGCAAGAGGCACCAAGTCCATTGAAGTGGGAGTGACAGTGGTTAAGCTCATGAATTCTCTATTCATTCTATTCACAGCTTAAAGATCTCAAAACGAAACATATCAAGTTTCCAGGCTGCATGATATTCTAATTCCAATCTGGAGGATGTTGCTTGCACCTGCAGCACCCATGGGAGCTTTGATAGACCGCTGACCACTTGTTCAACTAACTTCATAGCGCCATGTATATATATATATATCTATAATATTCTATAATGATCTATAATTATATATAATGCAATATAAGATTGCGCGCACCATTGCGACCAGCTTAGACTTCTTCTCCTGAAACTACGCAATTGGCCGCGTTGGGGAAATCAAAGCAGCAGAATCAGAAGCGCACATTGTTGTTGCATTTACCCAATTATGGTCGTCGACAGAATTTTGGAAATGGAAAAAAGGTTCGACATGGGATGACATGGGCAGGTAAACAACTGCGACCTCAAAAATCGGTAATACCTTGTATACCGAACCTTTTTGGAAGGGGCGTGACGTGCTGCAGTTAAATTTCCATATATATATATTTTTTCCATGTGAGGGTGCTTCTTGGCATATGACCATTTCCATAATTATTTGTTTACTGAAAGGGGTGACAACTTTTCTATTGACATGTTTCCATAATTCTTTTGGCCATGCCTACAGTAGCATCAGTGGGAGATCAAAATAGACATGTGGAGGCATAATTTCACATGTACCCCTTAACACTTTCCTCAGTTTGTTGCCTTGTAGGCCCAACCCTGAGCACTGAAAACCCTGAAACATTCAAAACTAGGTAGTTTGAAGGATCAGGATCCGATAAGTAAGATTTCCAAAATTAATTTTGCATCGTGGATTAAAGGCTTTTGTAGACATTTGTCTCACTTGTTTTTTCTTTTTTAGAGGATCAGGATCTGAAAATTGCTATTTCCAAAATTCTTTTTTTTGAAAGTCCGTAATGTCGCTAATCTCTTGTCTTGGTTTCGGTCCGCAACCTTTTCCGCTAACTGCGGCGCGCGAACCTTTTTTCATTTCCAAAATTCTGTCGACGACTGTACACAGTGTGCCTGCCTGTATAATGTGTTCATGGGCAAGTGCTCTAGATTGTCTTTGTTTCTGTCTATGTTTCTCTGTTTTTGATGTTCTTGCCCCCTGTGGAATCGAAGGCCACAACAGCATATGAGCGCGAGTGCGAAGCCCTGGAGGGACTGAAACAAGCTTTACAAGCTACTCGCAAGGACACTTGATTTGATTTCATTTGTAGATACAAAGATATGCCAAGCACGAATGGAACGTGGCCAAAGCATCAAACAGCTTCCGTTTGTCCCAACATCAACAATACATCAACTGCCGTCGGAGGAGCTGTCAGCTGAGACAAAACAACGTGATGTTGTCCAGCAGGTTGCGGCTCGGGCAGTATGGGCAGATATGGACGTTAATCTTGATGCTTTCCTGTATGCTGTTTCACGTGCAGCAATGGCAAGTTGCTTTCCCAGACTGACAGAGACTGACGCAGCATAAATGGCTTGGCATAGCTGCCACTGCTTTGCTTTTTGGCAACTTGACACGCTCACACACTCGATCCCATTTATAATCAGTTAATAACGTATATTCATTGCATTCTAATTTCTAATTTATTTCGGTAAAAGAAGCTGTGCTATTGGTGTCGGCTTCATGGCCAGGATCTCCGGGCTTCCAGAACAGCCCAGACCCTTATGATCAACCGTCTTGATGATATTGAGCGCAGGTGGGTCAACTGGTCAACTTTGAGAGTGCCAGATTTGTCCCGTTGACCCCGCCCCGCACTGACATTGAACATTTTTGAACTATGCCTACCTATGCTCAAATTTGCTGAAATGGCTATTGTGGCTGCATATGGCTGCCAGAAAGTATATGCAACAGAGTTGTACGGCTGTCCAGGAACAAGGCCCTCAAGAATTGTGTTGCCAATGCGATCAATCGATGATGCACTGAGATGTGCGCTGCTGAGCCGAAAGCTGCAAGGGTCAAAAGAATTCGCTATCCGCCGCTATCCTATCAGCCATCCTTTCATTCTTCAGCCAGCCAGAGCCGACCCATGTGTCATTAAGGGGTCTAAGCCACACCAGCCGTCACTAGCCTATCAGAGGTAGTAGAGACTTGTGGGAAGGATCAACTAGTCTGAAATATTGTTGGCGTATGTTGACGTTCTCAAGGCAACTTTGGTTGCATTTTTACCCACTCGTATGCACTACTCGTATACACTCTGACTCTGGTTGCCTTCAGCATGACTTTGCCAAAACTTTGCCAACAGCCAGTTGCACCTGGAAGCCTGGAAGCCAGTGCCTCTCCGAAATCATGTGAAAGTGGTCTTTGAATGTCTTTGATGCAATTTGATGCAATTTCATGCAATGAATCAATGTAGATTCCCAGATGACCCCTCTCATGTTTCTATGCATTTTTTGTGCTTCACTGTTGGCTCTCAGCTTGACAAACTAGCCGGAACAAGCGCTGCCAATTCAACTGTTGTGAATACAAGCCCAAGGACACAGTGCTCTGCAAGGCATATGACTTCAGACTTGGAGAAGAGATGGCTAAAGTCATTGGAGAAAAGATAAGAATGATAAGAATACGTATATATAATATTCGAAATATTCGAAATATATGATGTATTGATGTAGTGTATGATTAGTATGTGTGTGATGTTTTAGGTAGCCTGGTGATAACTTTGGCTTCGTGGCCTCGGCAGGAAAGATGAGCGGCCTGATGGAGTATAACGGCCTTGCACTCAAAGAGCTTCCATGAACTCCACAAATTAATAAACAAATAGCAAATTTATCAAATTTGAATATTGTTAAATCATGTTAAATCATGTTAAATCTGTTAAGTCATGTTGAAACTATGTTAAAACCATCTTTGACAATTTTGTATGTGTTTTAAATCATTGTCAATTTGTGTTCATATTTTAAGTTTTTTTTGGTCATTGTTTGAATCATTTATCACCCCGGTTTGATCATCGTCAAATCCTTCACTATTTTAAACAAGCATCTTTCAATCATTCTTTAATCATCTTACGGTCATGCGTTTCCAATCAGAAACCAGGAATCATGTTTCAATTCATGCTAAAGTCATGTCAAAATAATTTTGAAATCATTTTTGAACTAGTTTTCAAACGAAAAAGTCAGTGTGTTTTAACAATTGTTGTTATTTCCTCAGTTTCAATCCCTTTTCAACTAAGGTTTACAGACATCATTTTAAATTCATGATCAAATCATGTCATGCTTTAATCATATCAGTATACTTGAATCATTTTACGTAGAATCATTGTTTACTCATGTTCTTAGTATTTGTTGACTCATGTTTTCACTGTTGTATCATTTGTTAATCAGTTTTAACTCACTTAAATATGATCGTTCATTCAGTGTTTCCTCATCTTGAAGTCAGTTCCAGGTCATTTTAGAATCATACACAATCATATACAATCATATTTTCTTCATGTTCAAAACATGTTTGTTTTTATGTTCATATTTTTAGATCCGATTAAAACCATGCTTTAATCATCTTTAATCATTTCAAAACCATGCTTTAATCATGTCTAAATCATGTATTATATTGTTTAATCATTTTTGCTTGTGTCCAAATCATCATTGAATCATGTTTGCAATCATGTTTCTCTTCTTAGAACATGCTTTATAATATAACGATGTTTAACATTTGTTCAACATGTTTCAAAGATTCTATTAAAACATTTAAAACAACATGGTTTGTCACGAAGCGGTGGTTCCTTAGGAAACACTAAGTAGGGGACGTCTACTTACATCTTCTCAGAACAGCACGTTTCAGCACTGGTTTCAGGATCTGCCATCGTTGCAATGGCAGGCGAGAATTGTGTCCGGAGCTAAAGTGCAGATGGTGAGATGAAATTTGGAATGAACTGCCAGTGCAGCGAAGTGCAATGATACATGCGAGTGGCTTGGTGAGAACTTCTGACAGAACTTGCACAGCTGATCAGGTAGGCATTGCATCTGACACCCGTCATGGAGTGCAGCCCTTGGCAAATGAAAAGGTCAAAATAAATTCACATTCCTAGTCTGACCTTGACTTGCAAGAGGCATGTGTTTTTAGTTTATGACATTTTATGACCCTTTGTTGTTCAAACTATCATCTCTATGCATTTTTCAGATCCTGATGCGTGTCTCTACCAAGATTCGGCAGCTGCAGACTGTAAGCTGCAATAGGCGAGGCCAAGAATGTTCCAATGTGCATTATATAATTATATACTGTGTCTACATTTGCCGTCAACCCATGCCAACTGACAGATTCCTTGCTTATACCAACACAATGATACACAATGATACACAATGCACAGTGCTGCCCCACATACGAATGATACGTGACAACATTTAAATGAAGGGCGGGATCAACAGATCCGATACAGAGGTAGAATAAATGATGTAGAAATTGTAAAATGTATATATATATAATATTTACGAATGTTTAAATGTTTTAAAGGAGATCCAATCAGATCCGCATGTGTTGTATATCTATTTCTGCTTGTCGAAATGTTGGGCGGGCCCGCCAGGACCCCCATGGAGGTAGTCTAACTTTTCTGTTTAATCCATTCAAAAATCCGCGTGTTTAATGTGGGCACTGTAGCAATTCCGGATGAGATTAGTGAAGCTGTTTGTTTGAGCGACGAGAGGCAGAAGACTTTTCAGGTGTCCGAATCTGAGTTTGGACTGTCTCAAGCCGCAAAAGATCTGATTCGGCCCACAGCATCCCACGGTCCCACAGCTTGTTTGGGTGAGAAGACTATCCATCAACATCTATTCAGCGCTGAGTCAGGACCGATCAATGCTACGTGGGACTGTCCGGTCTAGCTACGGATGCGGATGCCTGAGGAAAGCAAGCGAGGGTGTGCAGATGAATGATAGAGGGATATAGAGGGACAGATGAAGTGGCAAATACATAGTGTGCAAATACATTTTTGAAAACACAATGAGAAGAACCATAGGGACTGCTGCCCGCTACCACTGACCCCTTCGACAGGGTTCAAAGTAGCATGTTAGATGAGGCACACCCACAGAAAGATGCACCAAAGACAATCAAGAGCACTAGCTCACTGGGCATTTGAGACCCACCCAAACTGCCATACTCCTAAAGGACAATGGCTCAAGCGGCCCATTTCCCAGCGGTACTCAGGCCACAAAACCAGCCCTCACAAGCCCAAACATGCATTTCCAATCATTTCCATGCATTTCCAAGAATCCAAAGCCCGCTTTTGAACCTCACATAACCTCACCATTCACTCTTGGACCCCACAAGAGCCTTTTTCTGAGTGTTGAAACGCACCTCACACCACCGCTACACTGGCTACTCCAACAACCAATAGCTGAATGCCTCACCAACTTGCATGTCCCGCCCCTTTTCTCCGATAATGGATGACTGTGGGAACAAACTGAGGCAGTATGCTAGAGTCTAGAGACTCATGACACACCTTTGCGGAAATGATTCCTGATGATGCTTGTGGTAGCTGAGGGTTCCATGAATTCTTGCCGCTGAAACAAGTTTCTAATATGATTGTATCATTTTCTGAAGAGAGTTTTGCAAAGGCTGGTTATCCTAAAGAAGTGTGCCAGAAGGCTGTTGTACAGGATTGTTCCACAAGAGTGTTGTGCAGGAGTCGTGAATAGGAACCCACCAAACAACCGAAACTGCTGCAACCGTGCAATATATCATTCTTCTCGAACGATCTCAAACGATTGTTTGTTGAAATCGGCTTTACTTAGAAACTGTACAGTGTGCAGAATAACCATTTAGTTACAAGTGTCCTGCAAGAAAAACAACCTGACCAATTCTGGGAGTTGCTCTATATAACTTCTCACTTGATCATGTTGACTGCCGAATTGTGGGTGGGGGCAATGGCAAAACGATTGAACATGTTCGCTGCAACCCTGACGTTGCTCCGCGCCGGAATTTATGGAAGGGTTGCGTATTTTTGAAATGCCATGTCGGTGAACTTTCAAAATGTAGATGTATATGTGATCCATGATGATGATGACGATGATGATGACGATGATGATGATTATGATGTTCATCATATTTCATCATCATCATCATCATCATCATCATCATCATCATCATCGTCATCGTCATCATGATCGTCATCGTCATCATCATCATCATCATCATCATCATCATCATCATCATCATCGTCATCATCATCATCATCGTCGTCATCATCATCATCATCATCATGACCACCATCACCATCACCATCACCGTCGTCGTCGTCGTCATCATCATCATCATCATCCTCATCTTCATCTTCACCATCACCGTCCTCATCTTCATCATCATCATCATCATCATCATCATAATCACCATCATCATCATCATGATCATGACCACTATCACCATCACCATCACCGTCGTCGTCATCGTCATCATCATCATCGTCATCATCATCATCATCATCATCATCATCATCAAGCATCGTCGTCATCGTCATCGTCACCGGCATCGTCATCGTCGTCCTCCTCCTCATCATCATCATGATCCTATTCTTCAGATTCAAGCATATTTGCCACAGGGGCTGGAGTCTTTTTTGATCCCTTATGAAGATATGTTGATGCTATTTCAGATTCAGCATATTTGTCAAAGGGGGTGGTGGATTTTCGATGCCTTATGAAGATGAGTTGATGTGATTACCCCATTCAACGTATTTGTCAGATGGGGTGGTGGATTTTGATCCCTTATGAAGATAAGTTGATGTGATGACACGATTCAACATATTTGTCATAGGGGGTGGCGGATTTATGAACCCTTATGAATATAAGACATATAAGTTGATGGTATTTACCCCATCCACATGAGTTGACACTGTTGGTGATGATGATGATGATGATGGTGATGATGATGATGATGATGATCATGATGATGGTGATGGTGATGATGATGATGATGATGATGGTGATCATGATGATGGTGATTATGATGATGATGATGGTGATGGTGAGGTCATGATCATGAATCATGATCATGATGATGATGATGGTGATGGTGGTCATGATGATGATGATGATGATGACGACGATGGTTGTAAGTGTGGAGCAACGTCCGGGTTGGACGGAACATGTTGCAAAATCAAGAAAACATATGGAATGCAAAAACATTGTAGTGTAGTATATATATTAGTCGAAATCGCACAAAAAATATTGGAAGCAAAACACGAGCTAATAAAGGTTTCAAAACACTTCAAAACCAGAACTGCAATTTCTTGAAGGCAAAAATGCGACCTAATTGCGCAGAAAAAGGATCTATAGTGGAGACTTCAAAATCTTTTAAACTAAAGAGGCGGCTAATTGTGTTTTTGAGATACTTGAAGTGTTGATAGTGTTGATGTGCTTTCTTATATGGCCAGGCAATGTGGCACAAATGAAGCGCCCAAATGCTAGACTCTTCCTTGATGCACTACCCCTGAGTTCCGGGCGGAGAAATAAAACGTATATATATATATTTCTTTAGATACTTTTAGATCATATACATACAGAAACCTGCAGTCGATACACAGAGTATGATAGAGTATGTATGTACGTACTGTACTGTACTGTACTGAAATGTAATGTAATGCAATGCAATGTACTGTATCTATGTATAGTAAATTGAGATCAATATGTGTATCATGTGCTCATGTAGCAGAATGTACCTAACAAGAGTGTTCCAGGTTCAGACGGTGAGCCAATTGCTGAATTTCCGCATGAAGCTCTTCACACTCCGCGAGGTGGTTGAGAGTGTCAGCAAAACCAAGACGGGAACAACTGAAAACAAAAAAACGAAATGGCCTGTTTCAAACGCAGATGGCCCGAAGATCTGAATCATAGTAAACATACAAATATCTTTGATATTCTCCTTGTATCAGACGTTTCAGATTTCGGAGACTTGCCGCGTTCCTGCTGTTTAGTGCCAGGAGCGAAAGATGCAGCCTCGCATGATAGGGAACATGATCGCATCCATGCTGTGCCCCACATTTGTGTTTTGGTGCACAAGTGCACTACTCTGGGATTGGATGGAGCCTTTCCGGGTTTGTCGAGTATGAATTGCCGCGGCAGGCGTTTAAAGGGCTAGTGGAAAAGCGGCACCTAAACCTAATATTTGCACATAGCCAGATTTCAAGTACTTTTAGCTTTTACTGTAAGTCATTTTCTTGAAGACATTGGGTTTGCATTGTGGTGGAGCTGCACATGCTGTATAGACCCAGCTTCATGCTGTGCTCATGCGATTGACATCCCAGGTTCTGCCAAGGTGTCAGCCTAATGTGATGCCACCAGCCTCGAGTGGGTGACATGAACATGGTGAACAGACGCATTTCTTAGCTTGTCCTTGCAGTGCTTTCCCTTTTTGTTTTTCTGTTTCTTGGTCCCCTTTGCTTTCGATGCTTTGCTCTTTTCTGTTCTTCTGTTTGGGTTCCTGCTTTTCTTGTTCGTTTGTTCGTTCGTTCGTTCGTTTGTTTGTTTGTTTGTTCGTTTGTTCGTTCGTTTGTTTGTTTGCTTGATTGCTTCTTGCCTCGGTCGCTCGCTCGCTTGCTCGCTTGCTTGCCTGCTCTGCTTGGTTGTTTGTTTGTTTAGTTGATCACGTGAGTCCTTTATGTTCTTTTGCTTTGCCGTTCTCCTCTTGGTCTGCCCTTGTTTACTTCTTTGTCTTTCTTTGATCGTTTGGTTTATGGAGCCATTTGTGCGCTTTCCAAGCGTGCCCTATTGGTTGAAGGCCGCTTTCCTGCCTCTTTTCGCATAGCTTTGTGAGCTTATTGCATTTCCACATTGTGCCTTCGGTAAACTTGAGCCTGTATTTATCTGGCTTTCGCAATTCCCTCGTTTAATGAAAGAGAGCAGTGGCTGCTCCTTTTTTACTCTGTACTTGTACGATAGTGGTCTCTTTTGGGCCTCATTCGTTGTCCTCTTTGCGGCCTTCGCCGCTATACTGTGCAATACAAACATGGAAAGCACCTTAAAAAAACCATGGGCTAATTGAAGACGGAAAAAATAGAAAGGTAGTGCGATTAGTAATCGTGAAAAACACCAGGAGCACAGTTGCACTCCAAGACAGGATTAGAAGAAGGACAAGGGATGCATACGAAGACAAGAAGAAGAAGAAGAAGAAGACATCCACTAGCGCATCTTACGTAGCGGAGGATGAAACGAAGCAAAACAAGATACAACCGGTTCCTGTTTGAATCTGTTTGAAAGATTTCCAGATATTGGCAGCAAACATGGAGAAACAGGATCCGGATGGATCCGGAAGATATGCTAAACAGGTACGAGAAGCGCTTTGGACCATATTTCACCGAGCCAGTCGTCGCTGGCCTGGACGGCGAACACAAGCCGCAGCATCCTTGGAACCTGACGCCATGAGCGAGAGCGTTTCGAGCCCACATGTTGTCCAAAGTTGTCCAAAGTTCAGCCATGTTTACAAATCATGTTTTCCCAGAGCTTACCAACTGACAGAGTGACAGAGTGATTTTTGTATATTTTTGTTTTCTTTTGTTCAGCGCTTTTCCAAGGTACCTGTGTACATTTGACTTCATTGGGTGTCTTTCCACCGCAGAGGAGCATCGAGAGACCGTCATGTTGCTGTGACTCTCATTTATGCGCAGGAAGCGATCCACACCTTTTTCTGACCCCTTTCGTGAGGGTGACATCTTTTTATGCTTGATATATGTTGTAAATCATAATAAATTATTTTAAACTATCCACAAATTTGAAATGTAAAGGATGGAAAGTCAACAGAACAGGAATCAAAACACTGTATGACATGCATACCAAGCCGCTGGGCCTTCTACGATCACACAAGATGACGTTAAAGCTTCAGCATTTGTTTGCCCGCCCTTTTTCCTCAGCGGGATGTCTTAGGCCCTAGGCTTGCAAAGCCTCTTGGTGTAGCCACGCGGGCTTCTAGATTTAGACATGTGAAGGTACCTCGCGAAGGCAACCAAGGGTGCATCTGACTGAACAGAAGCATCTGCGAAACCAGTTCGCAAGGGCAAAAGCGTTCAACGAACCCGTGCGAAGCCAACTTTTGCACAAATCCATACAAATCATTACACATATCCATGTCTTTCGTAGCCTTCAGCCTCCCCAGTAGTGTATAGGCCCCGCACAACCCCACATAGCTCAATTCATTCAATTCACTCTTTGCAAAAAAAACACCATGCGATTCGCCTGGCCGCCATGCACTAAAGAAGCCAACATCCGAGTTGAAACAGCAAGAGCCAGGATAGCCAAGTTATACTGAACAGATCTGACATGATCTGACTGAATAGCCAAATTACTTACTCCGCAATGTGCCAATGTACAAAGCGGTTATCATGGTGATGTTGGCACCATTGAAAATCGATGCAACAGCGAACAAACTACTGGGATTTCCTTTGCTGGGCAAAAGTCAGGCAGAGACAAGCAGGACCAAGACAGAAGGGCACGAATCAGTAAGAAGACAAAGGGAGAAATAATATATAAACCAATCACGTGTCACAGGAATTCACATGATTTCAGCAAGGAGACAAGATGAGACAGATTTAATATGATTTAATCAAATAAGAATAGTTAGGAGACTGAGGGAGACGGGAAATTCAGCCACACTAATTAATTTGTGTTTTTTCCTGTTTGTTGCATAATCTTTCCCACAGCATGTTGCCATTTTAATTTCCATGCGACATAAGATATATAGATATATACTACATGTACTACATATACATACATATACTACTGTCAAGCTCTGCGAGTCAAACAAAGATGGTTCATGCTTGTGTCATTTTGTGTTTTGTTATCGTGAGTGTGTCTACAAAGCGGGGAGGATTTTGTGGTTTCCGGCACCACAGCGGAACAGCTCTTTGGTGTGTGTGAGTCCTTCTGGCGACCTGGTGAGAGACTCAAATTTTCTTCGGTCACCCGAGCAGTGCTTCCACAACCACTCCAATTGACGAACTTGGTACTGGTTGTATGGCCTAGGAGGGTTGGAAAATACTACTCAGAATCCCCAGAATCTTGAGCAATGATGCAATGAGCCGCGCCGTCAAAGTTGTGCTAATCTATTCCCATTCACCTTTCACACGGCAATTTTCGACAATTTTCGACATGTAGATTTTTGCCATGCTGTTGTGCTATGCCTGGCATAGGGGACCCTGCAGATCCCTGCAGTGCCGTGGATGCCAGACGTGGCTAAGGTATGAACAAAGATGAGCTGTTTGAGACTCTTTCCCAGTGCCCATCTCTGGTATTGCCAAGCAGCGCTCGCTGATTGCTAAAGAGAAGGGCTGTACAGATCTGTACAATAAAGGTTTGCTCATGTTCGCTCAAACGTTTTCAAGTGCCTCAGCGCAAAGGTGCCTATTATCTGCTGCTGATCGCGACTGCCTTGCAGGCACACCCTTTGCACTCACAATGATTTTCAGGCTCCCTATGAAGTGTGCCAGAGCTTCAAAGGCACCAATGTGTTCTTGGACGAAGTCCACCGAACCAATACTATCTTATATGCTCGCGTGACTTGTGACCAGAGGAAGACGACATGTGCCATGTAAGTGTACCCATAGGATCCCATAGGCAGAGAAGCAGGAACACATCGTGTGTAAATCTCAGCTGCTTCAGTGGCAGTGCATTCTATTGCGTGGATACATACATACAGAATAAGCACATGGAAAGATGAGGAAAGACATACGAAGGCACACAAACACATGTGCCCGTACACAAGTGCATGCGTCCCGCTCTCCATTCGTGTAGGGATATGCATGTATAATATATATATACACTTGTAGACGGTATAGAATGTATAGATTGTAGAGACTGAATAGAACATAGCATAGAACGCAGTGTAGAACGCGTGGATGCAGATTCCAGGTGTGTCTTACGTGTCTCCTGTGTGTCAAGTTTGACAATAGATTTCTATACCTAGTATACTGGTTTCTTTGTGCTTTGTACATCTATTTGCTGTGGCATGCTGTGGCTGTGCACGGCACGTGAACTCCCTGGAAGCATCAATCTTTCCGCCTTTGCCTTTGTTCAGGTTGGGGTGGCGTTGTCCATATCATCACGCCAGATGAAATCATCACCAAGAAACTGAAGGGACGTAAAGATCTTACAGATCTTACAGATCTCAACGCTTTGCTTTGACTCAAGAGAATAAACAGAAGTTGAGTGACGCATCAAATGACGAGTCTAGTGAGTGTTGTTGGACCTCATTGCCTGGCCTTTTCCACCATTGAAAGAATTGGCTTGAAACATCCGGAAACCGATTCGAGCCTTATTGAGGCATGGACTAGCACTTCAAAGTGAAGGTCACCGAGCACCCCGCATGAGAAGCTTGCTGACACAGCTAAAGCTGGAACCGTAATTCCGCAAGAACAGGTGTGAGATTGAGTGTTATCCTACTTTCCAGTGTTCAGTTTGGTTCCTTATGTGTGCAAAGATGGTCACGGGTCATATATAGTTATATAATATGTACAAATAATACCTAAGACGAATTAAGGTTGGACGTATCAAGAGCTCAACACCATTTGGATACTGTAATTTTCTTTGTGGGAAAGCTTGCAACAAGTACCATGAGTACCGTTTGTTGATTGTATTGGTGACCTGGACCTCAGAACAGAAGGTCAGTGATACATGTGATGCTTGCACCTGCTCATAGAGGCACGCGCAGAAATCACAGAAGTGCGGAGCCGGAATAAAAACACAGTGTTGCGGCATTGCGGGGCTAGTATCTTTCAGCTGTAATCATAAACTCAGTTCTTGTGGCACTTGTATATTTTTCTTCAACGTCGCCCGATACGGCCCGATACATGGATACTGCACAAAGCAACAGGTTTCACCTCAAGACAACAGACACAAAGAGTTTGGCACTGTCACGATCTGTCACGGCATGGTCTGTGTTTTGTCTGTTTCTTTCTTTTGCTTCAGCCTTTCCCTTTGGGTTTTCTTTGCTGTGCTCACTTCATGCAATTTGTTTTTCCCCCGCCTGATGGTATTGGTCTGCCAGTAAGACCTTCAGGCTTGACTACATTCGCGGAGATTTTCTGGCGTTTCCAAGCGCCTTTGCCATTTGCTGCCATCCAACGCCATGGAATATGATGACTTGCCAGAAAGTGGCAGCTCCAAAAAGCATGCACGCCCTCTGCCGCTTCTCTCACCACTAAGCCGAACTGGCCTAAGGCCCACGTGGGCATCCAATGACCAATGGCCTTTGACAAGAGCCTTGGAGCCTATCCTGGCCAGCCGGAGGGTCGCGCAGAATGTGCCGAACGCGACGAACGTGACAAATGTGACAGATGTGACGACAAATGTGACAAAGACATTAAAGACACCAAGAATTCCGTCTGCTCAGTGAGAACCTCATGCGCAACAGCGGAGTTTCTTTGCATTTGCATGATGCTTCTGTCTACATGCATAAACGATATAAGTAGCCTTACAGGTTTGATGTATTTTTTTTCCGAAAAAGGTGGTGTGAATATGTGTCAGTCTCCTTCGTACTGAAACACACACACACACAAACTGCATAGATTTGCATAGGCCATCAGAGCGAAGAGTTGGGCCAGAGGCCATGGGAACTTTGATTTCTGTTCGATTCAATCCGCGAAGAGAAGACAATTGTGCAACGAGCTGGATACATGAAACATGTACATCATTGTCATCGTTCCAGAGGTGCCCCAAGCAAGACAATGGAAACCAAGCTTGCCAACATCAAGAGTGGCGGAGCTGGACGCTTAATGCTGACTCAGTGCTGACTCAGTGCTGAAGTGGACTCAGCGTTTCGAGGTTCCTGAAGCAGGTCATTTGATATCATCACATGCAATCTGTGAATATAATGCACATACTAGTACAGTGTATAATGTTATATGATATATAATATATGATATATAATTATATAATATACATTAATATACTATATTTTACATAATTATAATATAAAATATATAATATATAACATATAATATAAAATATATAATATAATATATATAATATATGATATAAGATATATGATATATTATATGTTGTATATTGTACATGAAATGTATGTGGTATGTGATATATACAATATCATATATATTTATATCATATATATATAATTATATATATATACTTAAGGGGGAACAAAGTTTATGCTTCCTGAAAGCTCGACAAAGCATCCATCTCGGTCAACCGCGGATCACATTTCCAAGTCAATTTCGTGTGGCAGGTGTGGGACAATCAATTATCACCCGCTTTTTAATCTATAAGATTAAAAGCTTTTGGAGGGTGGAACTTTGACCGGGGTATGACAAAGCTCCATGCTAGGATTCTAAGGGGAAACGGTGTGCGGAAGAAGAAACCAAACATGTTCACTGTCGGAAGCTCAACAAGCGCAACTTTTGTCCTACCAGTGTAGTATATATAATATACAATATATAAGGTACAGGATTTAATATAGAATGTAGTCTGTAATAAATAGCAAAATGTATGATATATGAAATTTAAGAAAAAATGTATAGTATTTAATTTACTCTTATAGTTTAAAATATACAGAATATAGTATATAATATTTAACATGTACTAAATATTTTATAATATATAATGCAATATCTAAAATACAATGTATCATATATAATATAATATATATGTATATAGACTATAATATTTAATAATATAGTAATATAATATACGTCTAATAATATTATAGTATAATCATAAAATGACATAATAGTAAAACAGTATAATATAGCATATAATAGTATAGTATTTTAATAATGACATAAGATAATAGTAAAATGACATAAGGTTATAACTATATAATAATACAATAATAGAGCAATAGGATAAGATGATAATATGATACTATGACAATGTGATAATATAACAATATAATCACATACTAATACAGTAACACAAAATAAGTATATGATAATATAATTATATAGTAATATAAAATATACACACGTACACATACAATACACATACACATACACACACATACACATACACATACACTCTCATACACATACACATGCACATACATCCATGAATGCATGCATGCATGCACACACACTTACATCCATCCATCCATCCATCCATCCATCCATCCATCCATCCATCCATCCATCCATCCATCCATCCATCCATACATACATACATACATACATACATACATACATACATACATACATACATACATACACACATACACACATACACACATACACACACACACATATATATATACATTAGAATACATATTTCACACACATTGCACTCTGCTCATACATGTGAAACATGGTGAGACTGCGCTGGAGCACCATAGAGCAAGGCTTCGCAAGAGGCACAAGAGTCGATGCCCCAGATATACATCATCTACAGTATGCCCAAGATGTTTGATGATGTTTTCATATTCTGCAGACCAGCAAATTTGGCGATGAAGTTCAAGACAAAGTCTGCATGCTGTGAAACTGCAGTAAGCTGCAGCCTTTCCATCATCGCACCGCAATTATTTCCAAACCCCGCTGAAATTGGCGTTGTCCAAGCTCTCAGAAAGTTGGCGTCAAGTCCCGAGGTATAGGTCTAGATTGTTCACACCTTTTCCACTTTATTTTGATCATCTTGTTTTTTCTGCTTTGGAGGTCCACTCGCATCTACATGCTTTGATGAGCAGGCACGAGTAAACTTTGGGAAAGAAACTGTTCCAGATGGAAACCAGAACCAGCAGCTGAACTGTTGAATTTTCTCAATTAGACAGCTTGAAGAAATGAGAAGAAATGAACATGATTTTAATATATTTCAATTAGAGGCAAAGGTGGGCCAGGTGCAATGCAAGTCAAGCAGATATTTGCAGAGAATTTGTCCTGTAGGACGAGTCGACACCATCGGCTGCATCAGGCTTTGTGTTTACTGGAAACGGCTGATGTCCCGTCAGCAAACATGTTCAGATATATATGTTTAGCAAATTTCAGCATTCTGTCTGCATTGCTCTTCCTTTCACTTGGCGGCAGGTGACCATGCCATTAGCTTGCAAAGGCCATTGGGGATCCAGATATGTTTCGAGGTCAAAGGGCAGTTTATCTTCTCAAGAGAACTTCCCACAGCCTTGCTTGGCTGTAAAGTGCTCATGCCACAAGGCTTAAGGCGAGCGAACGCACGAGACAGCAATGCTGCACAATGCTGCATCGCAGCAGCTTTTTCCTTCACACAGTTTCTCTTTCACTTGATGCAGAGACTGTTACAACTTGGAGATGGTTGGAGTGGACAAGCGTTCTGCAATGCAGGCTGTCCGACAACATATCTCCTTTGACCATGAATGAGTTTGCTCCTTTGCATTGCTTAGATATGCCATCAGTGTCCCGGGTCGAAGATGTTGTGATGGACGATAATGTTTGTGCTGCAAGGTTGCTTTACGCACGCAAGTCAGGCAGCCCTATTGTCTTCAGACACGAGGCGCGGGTGAATTTCCACAATTTGGAGAATGCCTCGCTTTTTGCTGCGGATCCACAGAAGCTTCCAGGAACACTGGAAAGCTGTTGAGGAGTATGACAAGGATATGGCAGATCTAGCTTCTTGGCATCAACTGAAAGCGCTTGAACATCAAAGCCAGAAACATCAACATCAGGAGGATGAGGAGGATGAGTTTTGAACAGATTGTAGTGTATAATGTGTTGCTTTTGGTGCTTGTTGCCTACTAAATTTGCAAAGAGCACAGTTCCAAAGCGAGGCGCAAGTATAAGCTGATCGTTTCCGCTGAGTCTTTAGTGAAAGGGACTTGCTTCTTGAATATTTTGATTTGAGATATTTCCGTTGACCCAATGATACCCAATGAATGTATATATAATTATATATATATAGTAACTATAATGACTATAATAGGTTCTACTGTAGCAGCTTATGATCCTGATCTTTATGCCATCTTGACTTGTGTGATCCTCTTCGCATGCTGTACTCCGGGCTAAGATGCAATGTAGGGCCATGGAAGTTGGAACCACCTCAACGTAATTTGAGGATTTGGGCATACTACCGAGAGCCCTTGGGGAGTTGTTACTGATATTTACTGTAAGTACTTGTACGTATAATCGTTAACATATATATATATGATTAATTATAATTACATATACAGTATATATATATATATATGGCAATGTATATAGTTTATAAACAACATTTGAGAAACTGAATTCGCTTCAGTCCCAGGGCATGTTTCAAGATGTTTCAAGTCCAAGGCCCGAGAAAGGCACGAGTACTGCAGCGTAGTCGCTGCACAAAGCCGCGTCACTGCTGTGAGGTCTGCATTGGCTGCATGACTTGCGTTTGTTCATACTGCCACATACGTATCGTACATCCACTACATACACGACATACAGAGACTACATATTCACTACATGTTCACTGCGTACGTACATATCCAGGAGCTGGGTTTTGATAGACGTACA